CAGAGGTTCGGTCATTTTTAAAACGTGAATGCCACACAAAAGTTTGCGGACTCCCCAAATGTTTGCTTTAGCATTTCATAGGTTTCCGTAGCCGTTTTGGCGAGTCTTTGGCAAAATTTGATGCCCACGCCATTCCGAAATCGCAGGAGGGTCGGTGTAATGCACTACCAAAACGCCCGTAACTAAGAAACAAATGCTAATTCGATGATGCCGGCTGGCACACTGATTCACTATGAATGTAGGCCACACCCCCTAAAGGCAGAAGCTCGTACTACATCCGGTTCGCCCTCTATTGACACAGTCTTGAAACTTTCCGATCGCACATCGTAGTAGACCTTGTGACCCAAAGAAACATAAAACCATGACCTGTCGTTCTTGCAGTTGGAGCAGGTCGATTCGATCGGTCCGCGAGCCTACCATGGCTCGGCAGTAGTCGGTTTCGAGATTTACGTCATCGGTGGTTATGACGGCGGCTCTGAAGGTTTAAACACATGCCATTGCTTCAACGCTGCTACAAAGACGTGGCGCGAGGTGGCGCCTATGCATGAACGCAGGTAAGATGCAGTTCGCTAACTAACGAACTCCTTCGAGCAGAGTATTTCTTCAAAAGCTGATAGTCGCTCTGTTAGTCAAGATATAAATGTGGGCAGTGGATTTAAAATTGTACCACTCACATACACGAGCTTTATACAAAGTGTGGATTGGTAGGAAGACATTTGCGACAATGTTGGTCTAAAGAATAAGATTTGCTTGTTAATTCATTTGAATTATGATTTATGCGATAGGAATTGCATCTGAATCAGCAATAAATGAGCATAGCAGAGCGTGTAATTTTTGACGTAAATACGTCTATATTTTAGGGTCAGTGTCATTCTGCATAAAAGTGTGACGAAAATGTGTAAGATGGTTACCTAGGAAACGTCATCTGTTTACTCGGCATTGTTGTTACCTATAAAACATTTTATTACATTACCTTCCTTACATTACATTACATTCAGCTACCACAGACCCATCTTAAGCGTAACTAATTCAAGTTAAATAAGCAAAGTCTTAATCAAACTTTACTCAATTGTAAAGCATGTATAAAGGAAATATTTAGAATAAAGCCAATATATAAACTTCCTTTTCCGTATAGACGTATTTACGTCTAATTCTCCGGAACCGTGGTTCCACTGACAACTTTTTCGTTTCAGATTCACTTTAATAGTGGCTGTTCTGCGAGGTGAAGTGTACGCGATGGGCGGTTTCTCTGGTAATCTGCTTCTCAATAAAGCGGAACGATACGAATGCAAGACAAACCAGTGGTCTTTGATCGCTCCCATGAAGACAGCGCATTGCAATGCAAGTGTGGCTGTACTGAGTGGTACGTAAATACTGTGAAACACTAATGTGTGAATCTGCCGACGTTTCAGAGGAACTTTTTCCTTTCATCATAAAGACATTCCTCTTCGCTCTTGAACTTAGTTTCCCATTGTCCCATTTTCTTTTAAATCCATTTCTTATATCCGTGCTATGTACTACGTTATTTCACAGACTACAAAGGCTTGACGTTCTGAGTGCGTGATTTTATTCTGATCTTGTAAGCTGTCCCTTTGCATCGTCTTCTGTCTTTTTATTGTACACTAGGAGTGAATGCAAACAACTACCAAACTATCAAAGTGACTCTTATGTAATACAGATTTAATATATTTTTGAGACAGTTTATAATCTCATGTAAATAGCACATTATATTATAAATGTAGAGCACCGCTTGGCAGCTTCTACCGTACATCTCTTGTACCAAATTTAATAAAATTCGTTTCACAGAAGATTTAACTTACCATCATTTACATTATGCATTAATTTAAGAAATTTATGTTGTTTATATTAAATATTTATCAGTTAAACTCGTTTTCTTTGACACGCTGACTGTCTGCATTCGAAACAAAGAAACAGATGAACAGAAACAGCCTGGATCATTCAGTTTCTGTGATACGAAGGGGGTACATTAATAGATTTACAAATTTAAGTATGGATTGTCTCGGTGTAATGCCACTGCCTACATCAAATATATGTACATTTTATGTCATATATTTGTCACAAAGTCCGAGTTAAGGTAAATATTTTGTTTTTGTAACAAGGAAATTTGAGTTTGTCGTTCTGTTATCCACAAAAAGCCGATGGTTTAAAGCAGTCCCAATGCCTCTGTATACAGTTTGTGTCTCAGGGGTCATTTGTTTTTACAGACAAAATATACGTCGCTGGTGGATGTGATATATATAACACTCATTTGAAAACGGTGGAAGTTTATGACCCGGACACCAGTTTCGCCACTTGTTTGTGTAATGCCGTTTTAAACAGCGTATCTTATGTTGTTGTTGAACTCAATTTTCGTACGCAGTTTCATGAAGCTGTAAACAGATGTCAGGACGTCGCGCCAATGCGTTTTAAACGTCAAGGTCATTCTTGTGTCGTCTTCCGCGGCAGTCTGTACGTCCTAGGTGAGAACTCTCGACATTCTGTGATGTCCTTCTAACATTCTTACAGAACTTATCTACGAGGTGCGATCGGAAGGTTTCCAGACTGCGCCTATAAAAACCCGTACACTTATCTCAGGTATTAAATTCATCCATCACCCTCGAAGTAGTTCCCCTGGGAGTGAACACAACGATCCCAGCGCCGCTGCCAAGCCTGGAAGCATCCCTGGAAATCTTTCTTTGTCAGCCTGTCAAGCACCATCTGCGATTCTGCCTGAATCTCTTCTATCGTCTCAAATCTCATTCCCTTTAGCTGAATTTTCATCTTTGAGAAGAGGAAACCTTAGAAAGGAAGTTGGGGTCGGTTCTTGCAAGATCTTTGAGCTCCTGACAAACGAGAAGTCGATTCTGCTTCTGGTCCTCAGACAGGAGCCTTGGCACAAACTTGGCTGCGATGCGTCGCATGTAGAGTTCTTCCTTTAGAATCAGCTGACAGGCCCCATAGCCTATCCCAACAATGTCGCACAAGTCGTCGATGGTACGACGTCGATCTTCGTGAATGGCCTGCCGAATCTTCGTAACATTTTCGGGCGTTGTGCTCGAAGATGGTCGTCCAGAACGCTCGTCATCATCGACAGAGGTTCAGCCATTTTTAAAACGTGAATGCCACACAAAAGTTGGTGCACGACCCATTGCGGACTCCCCAAATGCTTGCTTGAGCATTTCATAGGTTTCCGTAGCCGTTTTGGCAAGTCTTTGGCAAAATCGCAAGAGGGTCGGTGTAATGCACTACCAAAACGCCCGTAACTAAGAAACAAATGCTAATTCGATGATGCCGGCTGGCACACTAATTCACTATGAATGTAGGCCGCACCCCCTAGCGGCAGAAGCTCGTTCTACATCCGGTTCGCCCGCTATTGACACAGTCCTTAAACTTTCCGATCGCACCTCGTATGCCATATTTGTCACAAAGTCCGAGTTAAGGTAAATATTTTGTTTTTGTAACAAGGAAATTTGAGTTTGTCGTTCTGTTATCCACAAAAAGCCGATGGTTTAAAGCAGTCCCTTCGCAATCTTTGCGTTTCGCCACTTGTTTGTGTAATGCCGTTTTAAACAGCGTATCTTATGTTGTTGTTGAACTCAATTTTCGTACGCAGTTTCATGAAGCTGTAAACAGATGTCAGGTTCAATTTCCTGATGCTACAAGTTCGAAAATAATATTGCAGCTATTTGATCCTTAACTTCGTTCCTGGTACTAATACAAACACTGCAAAAGGGAATGAATTTTCTTTTCTGTATTTCATCCATTCCTTACGTTTATTAAATTACAAATTTTAAGAACATAAATTCCGTTGGGTAAGACGGACGGAGTGTGACGCATTGAAGTTACGAGAAATACATACATCTAGAAAGTTCTAATTGTGGAATCTTGGAGGTAAGATACCACTTGTGTAACATAGGCGTTAAAGGAAGGATAATATTAAAATGTTTTTGAGTAATTACAGTATGTGGGAAGGGTTCAACTACCGACTTTTGTGAATAAGGTTGTGAATCTTATGGCTCCATAAGGGCCACACACTTTGTGGCCAGGTGAGAGAGTAATAAATATCAAGAAGGTCCCTGTTGAATGGAGTTATAATAAGTTCTGTTTGACTTTTTTATATACTGTGGCTTAATACATTCTGTGTGTATTTGCAGGAGGATACAGCGATACGCGAGACGCGCTCAATACCGAAAAGTATGATCCTGAAAATAACACGTGGACTGAGATCCCTGACATGAACTACCATTCAACATGCTTAAAAGCAGAAGTGATCGACGACACGTTATTTATTATCGATGGATTTTTGAAGAAGTGCATCGCATATTCCGATGACAAGGAAAATCGATGGTTTGTTTCTTTGTTCTGCACTGTATCGTAACAAACTGTTACTTTCTAAAAGCACTAGGAAGTGAATCAGTTCCGGTCAAAGTGACCGCGATCTTGCGGGTGCTGTGCCGTGTAGTATCTTAGGAACTGACCGACGTTTCAGAGGTTCTTTCTTCTTACTCAGGGCATTGAATACAACGCGCGGAAAAAGGTGTGAGAGAAAGGGGTTGGATGAAAGCAGGCAGGGTAATGTTACGGTCAAATTGAATCGTTAAAGCATAAATCAAATGACTAGGTAATGTTAATCAGACGTTAACTGTGACTGCATTAATAAGAGCTCTTAGGGTAAGTTTCTTTGATCGGGGTTAATCTCTTGGGGAGGAAGTTTCTGGCGTTCAGCACCTCAGCATCGCCATTCATCAAAGTGTTAGGCCAGTTTCAGTTTAACGACGCCTACCATCTCATGTTCCCATTTCTGATGGAAGTTTATTTTAAAATGGCTGTCTCCTGCCATCTGTTAACGGAGTGAGTTAGCAGCCTCAAAAACATCCCTGAAGACAGATTTCGTCATACTTGTTTGTGCAAGAGCCAGAAATCTCACAGAAATTCATTCGATTTTCGTTTGTGTATGTTCTACGTCCAGCAGAACCTCTCCAGAACTACTTTTGATGGGACAATTTTTTGTTGTTGGAAATATATTGCTAAAAGAGGGAAATATTGTTATGGGCGCAATTCTCAATCGAAACACGCGTCTCTCTCCAAAGAATGTTCGATTTTCGTTTGTGTATGTTCTACGTCCAGCAGAACCTCTCCAGAACTACTTTTGATGGGACAATTTTTTGTTGTTGGAAATATATTGCTAAAAGAGGGAAATATTGTTATGGGCGCAATTCTCAATCGAAACACGCGTCTCTCTCCAAAGAATGTTTGATTGAAGTGCTATTCTGACCGAGGGTAATGGCTTAATGAAGTATAGCAAACACAGCTGGCGCAGAACATAATTCATTTGACAACATTTTAAAATATTCATAATCTGTCCCTCCATTTTGATGTAATAAAATGTATTATGTTACAATAGCATGTTGGCCGGTGTTCTATGTGTATATGAGTAAAAGAAAGATCACGTGGGAATCGTGCACTGAAGTCCCATTGGGGGAATTTTTGTTAAGTTTGTCTGGAAACAAAATACAAGCTACGACATTACGGTGGAAGCCTGTGCCTTCAGTTTCAAGCAGTTTTCCATTCTACCAAAAGACAGAGTCAGACCATCAGGCATGGATATTTTTAGGTCAACACATTTTACGACTCACAAAGATAATTCTACACCGAAATCTCTGATATTTTATAAACCCAAAAATAAAAGTATATATATATTTAAGGAAATGGTTAATTTCTTTAAATAATGGCACTGACATTCAAATTACATTTCTTTTAAATTTATATTAAGTAAATTATTTATTGCAGAAGACGTATTTCTTCATGAGTTACCTCATCTCATGTAGAGCTACATATTTTCTGTAACTGTGTCCGCGAAATGTGATAAAAATTGTCTTGAGTGTAGAAAATACTGATGGATGATAAAAAAGGTTTTATTTTCACTTTTTAATATTTCAAATTGCAGGTACCAGGCGAAAAAATACAATGTTTGCAGATTCGGGATGTCGATTTGTGTCGTCAAGGACCTACCGAACGCAAAAGATTACGCCTACAAACACACGGACAAATTAATGGAGGGGAAACGCAAAAGAGAAGGAGGAGAAACGCAAGGAAAGAAGGATCAGAAACGTAGAAAAAGGAGGATAAACATAGAAATGTTAGATTTGGAAAATCAGTAGTACAACCACGACGAACACATTAATTTTAATTAATTTCATTACGAAAATTATGTAGAAAACTGGGAATTGATGTAGGACCTACAAAAACAAATAAAAATATTGTTTGCAGCAAACAAGGAAAAATTATTTATTCTCGTTATTTTCTGCTCAAGAAGTCTTATTGAAATTAGTTACTTTACAGACGTTTAATATTACCATCCATCAACACACAGCAGTTTCACCTTTCGTCTTGTATTAAATAAACCCACTTGTGGCGACATGTTTCGAGTTACGAAACCGTCTTCATGGTATTAGGGGAAGATTATGAACATCGTTTATAAAAACGCCATTACGAAGGCAACACACTGAGAATTTTGTATCGATTTCTGATCTACGTGTGATATTTTAAAGAAATTGCACAAAACCAAATTTGGCTGAGTTGCTCCAATATACCGGATAAGTGCCTGGGGAAATACCAACCTTTTCAAATGGCATCAAGATACAAGACATTCTTTCAGTTAAAAGATGTTTATTTATTTATTCACGGTATTTTTAAGTATTTTAATGTAAAAGTACAAAATATTACGACAAAATACACAAAAATAAGAACTTGAATTTCGTTAAGGTACATACGAAGTAATATAAAAATGTGACAGCTCTAATCAAACGGGGAACTCGAAGCATGTTTCCAAGATAAAATCTAATACAGAATCAGCTTAACAGATCATAAACCGTGCCTGAAAGAAGACTTTAGGCCTTATAACTGCCTGGTACCTGGACAATACCTCACCAGAATGCGCCACTATCCAAGATGTTAACATAACACATTATTTATTCCCGCCCGAGCCCATTGTGTTAAAAGACTGCAGATTCAGAATAACAGACTTTCAAATTAAGGAATAACAACACAAATCTACACTTTCCGTGCAATCTATTAACTTTAAAACATAGAAGAGAGAGATGAGATATTTCTTTGCCACAAAGAAACGACGACAACGCCACCAACCGCCATAACAGCTCGAAACTGTTTCAATGATGTCACCAGAGATGGCAGTGCGAGCAGAGCGCGCTCATTTCAAATCGTTTGAAAAATAATTTGGCGGCATTCCGTTAACTGCCGTGACCCCCCAACTTTCTCTGTTGTTAGACATTGAGATTCTGATCGTTTACAACGGGCATTATAAATAATTTTAAGCATTTGTTTCACCGTCTCACTTTGGCTGAACGTAAAAGTACAAACAATATTCATAATACTTGAAAAAGAACAAAAGAATGCGAATTAGCGTTACATATACTTGAAGCGACTTAATATCGATTTTAGATTATCGAAACCTCAGTGTTATTTGAAAGCGACTTCAGAAGAAATTAAGGCCCTTAGAATGTTTGATAGAAGGATGATTAAAAAAAATCCGTGCTCCCATAAATGAAGGAGAAAGCTGGAAAACAAAACTAATAAGGAGACAGAGGATGTATTATATTGTAAAATTTATAAAACCTCTGACAGATGGCGTGGACATAAAGGAATTTGCAGTAGACCACGCAAGAGACGTAGAGATGAGTCTGAAGAGTATTCGAGAATCGTGGGAAAATAAATTTGTATAAAGGGACTAAGGACCATCAGGAATGCAGGAAAAATGCACTGAAAGCCAAGGTCCTCAACGACCCTAGGGCTTGAATCGAAGGATAATGTTGTAGATTAAATTAATCAGTTGTAAAAAAATGCGGAGGGAAGTGGTCGTGGCCTAACTTTAGGAACAATCCCCTGATTGTCTTAAGGAACTGAGTGAAACGAGGACAAACCATCAAAATTCCTGGTCTCTGAGCCAAGTTTCTTGCCCATAACCTCTGGAATGAATGAAAAGAATGAATGCTAATCAACTGATCACGATATTTGGTATAATCAGGCATTGGCTTGTATTGAACACATTTCCCGTTTCATTACATTGTGAAACGATGATTTTAAGCTTTGTTTCGTGCATATATAATAGCTTTAAGATAAGAAATTTGAAAAGTAGCCTTTTCGTGATAAATGTGAAGATATTTCGCTTTTATAAATAACAATAACTTATTAAAGAAAGAGTTTATACATTTCTTTTGAACTTACGTAAATAATGTTGTGGGATAAAGTCACATGTGAGAAACTGCTAGTCGCTGAGTTGACCGAGAGCATCCTGCATGCAGTGAAACATTAAGACCCCATTTTATTTTTTTATAAGAAGAAATAAAGTGTTGCAAATTCTCTCTCTTTGTTATCAGAATTTCGACTGGTTTGATGTGGTCCTCCAATTTCGCCTAAATTGCGCCAATCTCTTCATTTCCACATCCTCAAAAATCTGCGTCACATATTCCAATCTTTAAAATATATGATAAAATTCAGGTCAATACACAAAACTTTATTAAGATGTTAAAATTTAAAATTTAAATGTTAAAATTTAAAATTTTTAAAAAAAACCATCCTATCTCTTCTTCTCGTAAGAGTTTTCCATAGACTTCTTCCTTCGCCTATCCAGGCTCCCTTGGACACGTGTCATAATAAGACAACTTATCTCTTTTGCCTAATTCCTCTGTCTTACAAGGAAAACTAGGATTGAATTAGTGCAAAGAAGAAGGCTTGAATGATACACTGTTTGCCAGCCTCAGTTTGACTCCAGATCACGTAAAAATTTCGTAAAATACGTGGCGGACTCATGCAAAAATAGTGACTTGAAGAGTTTCATGGCCCTTGGGTCCAACTGGAAAACCATTCTGGCCCGAGCGTGGGAAAAAGTTGGACCACCCTGATTTATTCAATTATTTAGAATTTCTTATTATGCCTCTATCAAAAATCACGCAAACCTTCACTTCTGCCTGTAGAATTATAAGCAAAATTATAATCTGAAAGTACAAAAATCGAATAACGACTCTATCTTTCATGCCCCAAAAAAAGTAACTTCAGCAAAATCCTCAAAACATATTTTAAAAAGTATTAGTAAATACTACTAGCTCCTTGTGGATAAACTTGACATTACAAAAAAAAATAATTCCGTGTGCTCTGATACTTCACTTTGTTACTGTGTTTTCCGGTAATTTAGCGATGTTTCTGGTCCAATACGAAGGGTAAATGCCATAAGTGGTCACTATCCTGTTTTGTGCCCAGTTAAAAATCTCAAACGAAATGTTATTTTAAAGTTGCGTGTGCCTTATGCAGAAAAATGTACGTTTCTTTCTTACGTCATTAAGTTTTTTTTAATTTTTATAGCCTTCTGTATAAATAATTGCAAAAACCGTGGATATTAAACAGTATAACAATTATTTAGTTTACATGAAATAACTTTATCTGGAAATAATAATTATTTAATAAACATGGATAATAATAAAAATACGAAAGCAATTGCAATTTGACACAGATATAAAGACACAAGACAATTAGATCACGAATCTGGGATAAAAAATATCTCACTAATATTAACACAGTTGTAAACCAAGATCAAACTTAAATTTAAAATGTGGCATATTTACGATCGCGTCGCGGCACACTGATTGAGAAACTCTACAACGAAGAGCCAATACCGGCGACGCCTTTGAGGCACGGACTGACCAGCCATAAAGAAGAATCATTGTTCCAGCCCAATTTAACTCGCGTTCCACACTTTAATAACTACTGTCTCCATGTTATGCACTGCTCTCAAGTTGACCTCGGTTCACAACACAAACAAAACCAAATGCACATAGCTCTTCGTGTGACGGCAAAATTAACCTCATTCTAATGCACTGTCTTTATAAGTAAATGTCTATATTGATCTCACCGAGACTTCAGTGCTGCCTCTCGTGTCGAATCATGGAAGCGTACATCACTGCGTTACGTGAAAATGTCCTCCTACCCAACTCTCACAGCAGGGGCTCAGAATACATCCAAGGGAGCATTGAACACAAGATGAATTAATCACCCAGCATTCATCTCTTCGCGCGAATTAAACAAACCTGTTCTAACGACGAGCGATACGAGCAATAACTTCGCTTACAGGCCTTGTAACGTGTCTTGATAGTTCGCCCGAACTCGTCCGATAACGCCCGACCGTCAATTCGCTTTTTTGCCGAATGACCCTTCCGTATAGACGTATTTACGTCAAAATGGCAGGAACTCGTCCAAGACCAGGTCTTTCAATTTGTATGTAATAATCATTATTACCATCCGTTACAATGTTGACTTTGTCTAAAGTCCTTAAAAAACTGATAGACTCTAAATTGTAATTTTAATATTAGCTTCCCATCCAAATGAGGGTCTTCCAAGTGATTTCGTAAAATCCTGAACAGAAAAAAAACTTGTCGAAGATTTTAGCGCAGAGAGGTGGACAGAATTAAAATGTATTTTACATGAATATACAGCGATAACACGAACTGGATTCATCTGGCACAGGATAGATCCAGTGGTGGGCTCTTTTGGACATGGTAATGAATCGTCGGATTCCACGAAAAGCAACGAATATCTTGACTAGCTGAGCAACCGTTAGACTCCCGATCCATGGAGCTATCTGGCAAGAACCCGTCATCATCTAGTTCACATCGTCTCCAAATCTACTCAGCCTCTGTCCGTAGAACAGACATTCCCCTCGACCCTCCATATGTCGTGCCACGCTCAAATTGTAGTAAGAGATGTTGAATGCCAATTAACTAATAGCCCAAATTTAATTAATATATTAGATTTCAAATTAAACGTTCGTTACGCGTCACCAAACTCTTGACAACCGCACCGTGGGTCGGCGTAAACCCAAGCGGCAGCTGCAGGAACTATCCAACGTTAAACTTTTAATTCTAGACACGAGATGTCTCGCTCAGAAACGCGTATATATTATCCTGCAGTGTAATGACTTTTTTCAGTGCCGGCGAAAAGGAATCTTTACGGTCAATTTTATGAACTACAAAATAACAGTTCGTGGCTTTTAATCGGTAGAACTCCCAGTTACAATGGAAACAAATAAAAGAAGGGATATCTTTAAAGAGCGCGGAGCCTAAAAGCTTAAGACAAGAAAAATGAATCATTAACAAGGATAAAAATACCAACATTTACATTGTTAATTTCTTTACATTAAGAGGGATATTTTTTTTTTATTATTGTGCCGTACATGAAGGCATACAAGAGTTAGCGTGTTACTGGTGCTTCAAACTGAATGAATTATCTCCTGGACCGCTGCCCACCCAGTTTCCAGGTCCTCTTTTCCCCTACATAAAGCGACTTAAGCGTGAAGCTGATCATTAATAAAGCTTGGATCTACAATTTCGTTCCCCCAAGCAAAGGGAGGACAACATCGATCCATCGTCACTTTCACCTGTGCGGGGCGAAAGTGATTCATCTTGATAAACACTACAACGGACATGTGTAAAATTATTTTACATTCTGTGGCGTCAGTCAACTGTTCAAAACACATGAAATGTACCTACCACGGTAGCTCGTTTCACCCGGCGGCTTGGCCCTCTCCAGGAAGAGTGGGTGCTCTGTAACATGGCCGCCTCGAACGTCAGCTGGTTCCAGTCGGACATACGACGATCCATTTTGTTCTATTTATAAACAAACTACGATACAGAGGCTTCACAAAATTTCAGTGGAGTGAACGACTGAAGAAAGTAGCAGACATTGTTCGGTCACTAACGTTACGAATCGGAACCTATCTATAATAATCACTTCGCCTCTAACTGGCCATTGACACTTGAAACGAAAACTATCATTTGCGCAAGAATATCACTGAATGAATTTAGGGGAGAATTATGTTGAATACATTGTACGTAGAAACTTCGCTTAATCAAGAGAAGGATTCTTTTGTGAATGTCCAT